GGAAGGGAAAGGCAGGCGGCAGCGACTCCCAACAGCCCCAGCCGGGAAGGGAAAGGCAAAAAGCGCTTTGCCTTTCCCTTCCCGAGGCGGCGGGACTGGGGCCGCTCCGGCGGCAGCGACTCCACACCATTTTTTTTTCAGAGGGGAATCTGATTCGAGTATAAGCCGAGGGGGATTTTTCGGCACAAAAAATGGGCTGAAAAACTCGGCTTATACTCGAGTATATACGGTACCTATTTTTGCCATTTGGAAAGCTACTGACTTCCTTCACTCAGTGAAAGGCTTCTGAAAATATTTCTGTTCTAGATCCTCTCAACTTACAGGCTATCCAAGTTTCAATTACCTTCTGGAGGACATTTCCACTTTTCCAGGGCCAAGATGGATTTGGCAGGAACCAGGAATGCCAGGGCACTGGCTTGAAACAGAGGAAGCCTGCCTTACGGAAGGGTGGAGGGAGAAAAGTGCATGGATTCAGTGCTGCTGTCAGGAGTCCAGATGAAGTTAGGCTGACATGAACTTGTAGTTTTATATAAAAAATATATATTTTGCATCTATATATACAACAGACTAGACAGTCAGCAAACATGAACTTGTAGTTTTGTATAAATAAATATATTTTACATCTCTATATACAGCAAACTAGATAGTCAGGCAAACAGGAGCATCATGAGGTAAATCACAGAGCACGCAGGCCACACAGAAGAAAAAGGCGGGAAAAAAGGGAACCCCTCCCCCCACAGCCACAGCAACCAATCACAGCACAGATTGCTTCACACAGGAGCCAGCACTCTCCAATCAATCAATTGTAACTGTGTGTTCTGGCTCAATGTACAATCCCACTGTTTCAGCTACTAAATTTAAACACCTGAACAACTTCCCCCTCATAGCGGTCTCTTTTCCGTTACATTCACCAAGGAGCAAACCAGATAAGCCGTACCTAATGCCCACAGTGCTTTGGATGAGGGTGGTGATGCCGACACAGCTGAAGATGGTGCCAATAAGTTGACTGATGGTGTACTGGTCCTTCCCTACACAGAGAGACTCTGCCAGAAGGAAGGGAACGGCAATGGTGCCACTGAAACATGTCAAGTAGTGCTGGAGGAAAGATTAGGGTGGAGGATGTGTCAAACGAGCATAAGATCAGATGATGTCTCCAAACTAACACACAGGCACCACAGCTTTGGGATTCAGCTATATATTCACTGGTTATGTAGGAATGCTGAAATAGCAATAGCAATAGCAGTTAGACTTATATACTGCTTCACAGTGTTTTATAGCCCTCTCTAAGCAGTTTACAGAGTCAGCATATTGCCCCCAACAATCTGGGTCTTCATTTTACCAACCTTGGAAGGATGGAAGGCTGAGTCAACCTTGAGCCTGGTGGGATTTGATTTGCCAAATTGCAGGCAGCTGGCTGTCAGCAGAAGTAGTTTGCAGTACTGCACTCTAACCACTGCGCCACCGAGGCTTTTCTATACAATTCTATACAACTGAAGCCATAAACTGTTGTTCTAATGTGGATAGTAATTTCCCCAAATAGGGCTTATTCTCTCCCTGTGAAATATTAGTCAAAGACATTTCCTGAGAGTTCTGTGGCCTTTCTTTAAACTGTGAATTTAGTGGTGAGGACTGCAAGAGTGCGGCCGAAATGGGACTAATGACATGCAAAACAGAGGAGTTGTCATGCTTGGCACATTCTGAGATTTGTTGCAATCTTAAAAAAAAAAAAAAAACTAAGAGGCAAGAATGGTCTCCTTTGCTCCCATCTTTCCATCTTATCCTTTCCCTTTCTACTTCCCTCAGCTACCAAATCCCTTGCTTCCTGTCTCACCCCAAATTATTTCTGCCAAGGGGAAAAAAAAGAAATCAGAGCAAAGCACTGAAATATGTATGACTTATTTGGGACACTGACCACCAGGAACCACATATCCTATGTAGAGAATGGGGCACACAAAGTTGTGTTCATTCTTGTAGCTCCATTATTAGCACTGAGCCAACAGATGAGATCATAATCTTGGTGGCTTTGTAAGGGTGACATGGCGTATTTTTCTTCTCACTATAAATTTTTCAATTTTGTTTAAAGTGCATCTGAAATAGTCCCAAGATGTGATTGGGGTGTAAAGTTCTATAAATGCTAATATTGCAGAGATAAATAAACAATAGAAGTAAGATGCAATCACCATTCAGTATAAGAGTCATAGTCAAGGTACGTCTTGTACCTTTTCAACAATGGCACCCATTGATGAGGGAACACACATAGTAACATCTAAATACTTGTAAAGAGTCACTCTGTTATTATGGGTGGAGAAACAATCACCATGCCAAATATTTGTTCATTTCAACAAGTCAGGGAGAACAGCAAAAGAGCCCGGAAGGAGCTAACCCAGTTTATTCTACCTGAAATCCCAAGAGGATGCAGAGGTACCATGGGGGCGCATCTTCGATTGTATAGAGCATATCAAAATTCTTCCGCTCCTCAGAGACTGGTGGAGCAACACAATTCCCATTTGATGCTTTTTGCTGAAAATTAAAGAGAGCCATTGCACATAAAGAAAAGGCTAGGAAGATTTCTGTTATAACTGGAGCAGGTGCCATGATAATCCTTGTGTATGCTACAGTGAAAACAATGCACCAGAAATGAACACACTGCCTCCACACTTGTTACAATCTCAACTATAGCCAGCAGGAGTGGATAGGAGTGCTGAAATTCACAGTAATGCCTGACATTATTACCTGTTTTGTTATTTTACACTTGATCTTTCTCCCTGTTTTTGTTATGGGAAAAATGAAAAGTCCTTCTTGGAATCCAAGGAGGAGATTCTTCAGGAATAAAGAAAGTCTGTATATTCTACCACTTCTTAACAATAACTGCCATCTCTTGGATATCTTTGAAAATTCTGAGAAAAGATGGATCACCCCTCCCTCCCAAACTGAAGACAGTGGGATCCAATTGCTCGTATATCCTCTGAGTCCCTGATGAAAGTATGACCACAGTCGGTTTCTGTAGTCTCTGGTCATGGAGGAACTCCCAAATTCTCAAAAACAACTTTCCTCAACCTGGAATCTGCTGAACATATTGCACTACTACTTTTATAGTTGGCTGGGACTTCTGAGGATTGCCTCGATCATAGGTGGAAGCAGAACTAAGGGAGAAATGAATACAGGAATCTGGGAGGCAGATGTGGACAGCAAAAATGGATATATTAATCATGCTGCATTTATCATTGTGTTCTGCCTTATCCAACCATGATCTTCTTTCATATTCTTGATGATGGTATATGTTCTACTACGACTTCCAGAGTTCATGCAAGAAATTCCAGTTTCTTATAAATAATTCCATCCGGTTGTTTACTCAGAGGTAGACCACAAAGCCAATTTAGTGTGGTGGCTAAGAACCTTGCCCAGAAACCAGAAACTTATGAATTATAGCCTTGCCTTAGCCCTGAAAGCCAGTTGGGTGACTTAGGGCCAGTCATTCTCTCTCAGCCCAGCCCATCTCTAAGAGTTGCTGTTGTGGGAAAATGGGAGGAATGAGCACTGAGTATGAACCATTAGTTGACAAAAATAAAGGTGGAGTAAAAATCAAATAAATAAGTAAATAAATAATAAGATAAAGCTACATCCACAATATAAAATCAGTAGAAAAATAAATAGAGGGAGACCTACTGAACATTCAAGAATTACATCCTTTGCTATGCTAAATTCCAGTGCTCCATAACAACTAAGGAATCCACCATGAACATGGAATCCAACTTCTTTGAGTCATTTCTCACTGCTGCCTTTAAGCATTCCATGAAAAGAAGTGTGAGTGCAGAGCAATACATCTTCAACTTACTCTTCCAAGATCATAATCAGGTATACCACCATATGTATAAACAATATTCTTTAATACAATGGAGGCCACATTAGATGAATGCTTTAGAAAAGTCCACAAGTTTTAGAAAAGCCCACAAGAATTCTGCCATGAATTTGATATCTGCCCAATCAATTAATCTAAGAATAATCCATGCATTTGAACTACACAAAACATACTGACAAATAATTTATCCAGCCAAAAAAAAGTTATATTAGAAATTTCATGATGTTAAATTGTCCATATGTATCCACATGCAGAAAGATTAATGCTATATGGAAATGCCTTTGACACTATGTCAGGCATGGCTTTATGGCAGCCTCCTGTTGCTTGTTTCTCTGCTAACAGTCAATAAAAATAGCCTATCACCTTCTTTGTTTTAAATTGTGCTTAGTATTTCTGAGAAAGAATAATGTTATCCTTTAAATTTACCTTGCAATGAGAAGAATCTTCAGAGTTGCTTCCCATGTTTGTACAAAGCAAGATCAGACTTTCTAAAGGAAGAGAAAATGCAATAACAAACATATTTATCACCTTGAAAAGGACTTTAGACAATGCACCACAGCTTGTCAATCTGTAACTGGAGTTATTGGCTGTTGATTTATATAATAAATTGCATGGTCTGGAAAGTTCACACTTTCATAAGAATATTACCGGGTGAAACTGTCGCCCATTTTTAGAAATGATAGTTTTTTAAACCTTTGTGGGCAAAACATAAGAACAGTTGCCATATGTTTAATTTGCTGACTATTTACATTAAATTGCAGCAGCGATGAGTAAGGACCAGGGAGTCAATATATGGCAGCCTGTCGGAATCTGTATTTTGGAAAGTATGTCAGTACAGTCATCTTAGATAACCAGTGACAAGAAAACTTACATGTTAATATATCTCCCAATACATCATCACCCATCTGACAATTCTTTCTAACTTTCATCAACTATTGACAGATCAAGCCACATGTAATATCATATCCTCCCCTGAATTGTATTAATTATGATCATAATAATTCAACAATTCCATAGATTAATTTTAATCAGGACCTGGATAAATCAAATTGGTTTTCATTTATAAGCAAACCACTGTAGTAGGACTGAATGTTTGCTATGACCAAAGTTAAGTGAAAAGACATTCTATATTTTACTGGTGACGTTGGATTCCAATTAAACTTTAGGAGAATTTGTCATGTATACCAGCCTACCTGCACCAGCACTTACCTTTCCTTCCTGTTGTTACTTGTCACACTTGAATCTGTGATGTTGCTTGGCAGCCTCTCTTTAGCAACCAGATGGTTCTTGGAGAAGATTTCCAGTGTAAAAGAACTTTTCTCCTTTCCAGATTGTGACTCATGAACTCTGGGGCTTTACTTTCTTAAACAGAAAACGATATGTATGCAGAAGACCAGCCAGCATAATAGGCTTACAGAACTGTGGAAAAGCACCACCCACTACAGACTGTGGAGGTATTTACAGACATCACCATGTGATTGTGGGATGGCAAAATGGTCATGGTAGTTTCTCTCTCCAAAAGAAAAGAATAAGGTAACTATTCTGGAGGAATTGTGGAATAATGGGCAAAAATCTACTTTAAAAGTAGCAGTTCAAACAATTGAATCACCAGAAGGATTGGCTGGTAATTCAAAAGAGAAAATGGAAATGATCAAAACACAGATTCCCATGTAGAATGCAATTGATTTACAGACCCATTTGTTAGAAAGAAAGAACAACTTTCTCCCAAGCTCCAAAGAAAGTATGTTTTAGTTATTTTATGGCTGTGGACAAATGAGCAGGCATTCTGCCAACAGTTATATTCTTCTAAAGAAACCATTTTTCTTCAGTTGGCACAGCCACCTTACTCCCCAAGGTACACCATATAATTCCTTATCTTTCTCCACCCTTGGCAATGTGCCCAGTGATATTTCTCCACAAATAGGTTGCTCCTAGAAAAGGTAGATATATACATAGAGATGTAGAAATCAACACAGGAGTCTATATGTTTATAGTTGCAAAATGGTTTTGTTGTAGATGTGCTATGGCTAGACTTCTACATTTCTATGTAGAATTATGTAGACACAAAGAATTAACTGTGCCATTTGGAAGTATACAGTATGTAGTTTAATCATAATTGTAAAAAAAAATACTTTAAATACTTGAAACCCTCTCTAATCCATATGTAAAGTTTTAGACAATTGCACTTTATAATTCACGCCTTGATCTCACTCTGTATTGATCTGAACAAATCCAAACTTGTTTGGCCAAATTGTCTAATCCAGATCAGAGAACTACCCCGAAATCTGGAAATGACCTTGAAATAATTTCAGGCCATTCTGTATAAAACAGCACCCTTCTCTTTGATTTAGGGATCCAGCCTGAGTTTAGCAGAAGTTTTCAGAATGTTACACCGGGGCTTCTACCATGAAACTAGAAAAGGATGTAAATATCTGATTCAGACTCCTACTTCTTGGCATTGCTCTTCTATAGCACACATAATCATTAGCTGTAACCACCAACAAATACATACATGTTCATCACACAAGGACTGGCATTTGCATTATTTGTATATCTTTGACTATGGCTAAATCTGATTTCTCCATGTTAAGGGATTTCTTGATTAAGTAAACTAGCTGTGTTTTGTTCTGAGCTAGAGGAATATTAGCTTATCCTATTAAAGTGTGAAAAATGATCATGTTACCTGGGTAGTTTCTGATTTTATTTTATTTTTATTTTTTTTGGTGCCTTCAAGTCAGTCTTGATTCCTAGCAACTGCCCGGACAAGGCCATTTAGTTTTCTGGGCAAACTTTTCCAGAAGTGGCTTACTATTGCCTCCTTCCTTGGATGGAGAGACAGTGCCTGGGCCCAGGTCACTCCTCTAGTATTGTGCCCAAGACAGGACTGGAACTCACGGTTGCCTGGATTCTAGCCCAGGAATCTCGATCATTACACCAATCTAGCTCTCCTATGTTAAGCCATATAATCTGTGTTGGTCTTTTCAATGAAATATGCCCCAAACATGTATTCCAAGAGCCAGCAGCTACAATGAGCTATCAGTTCAACATTTCTCTTACTGATATTCCTTGCCTAAGCAGAAGAACGAGGGGAGCTTCCAACATGCATGGTCTCCATCTCAATTAAAATATGGCACAGGACAAGGTGAACAGACAAAAATGGAAAATTAAGCACTCGTGTGAGAAGAAAATCAATCCTAACTATACAGAGACAGGAAATCCAAACCCTTCCAGTTTTAGCTGAATTGCATTTCCTACTCTCTCTCATCATTGGGCATCCAACTCTGAATTAATGAGTAAAGAGATGAGTAATGAATTAATAGCAGAAGGACTGTGATAGCTGAGAGGTCTTTCAATAAGATGGCCAGAACAAAATGCTCACCATCTTGAAATATTAAAGTGTTTTACAGTATTACTGAGATTAAAGAACTATCTAAGACAAGTTTAAGTGGAAAAATAAGATGGGGTATCCACAGAGGAATTTCCAGAGAAAGAAGGGGGGAATTATATATTCTCACATTTACCCATTCAGTTTTTGGCTATTGCGGTCAACAAATATTTAAGCTCTCTGTGTCTAGACTCAGAGGCAAGGAATGAAGACTTTGTTATATGTGTAGGACAAAGTCCACCTCAGTAGCTCTTTAACTAGCAGTCTATTAATTAGACAATGAAATTAAGAATTAACTACTTGGCTATGTTCCAAAGAATATTTGCCACTGTGTGATGGAGGAAGTGATCCTTTGCAGAGAAGAGGCACCAGCACTGCATAAAGTTAAGAATCCAAGAAAAGTCTCCTCCAACCATCTTAGCTCTGCACTCAGTCTGGGAAATTTTTCGTTGCCATCACCATCCATCCGTTTGTAAATCATGCATTCAATTGCAACTAACAATTAAAATAATATTAGCTTTATATCAGAATGGATAACATTTTGGGGGCCAATTCTGTAATCCGAACATTGCAAGTAGCCGGTTTGATTCCAGGATTGTTTTTCTCATTGACATGAAGTACTGCTGGGATCTTCTTTGTTATATTATCAGAAGATCAACTAGTTCTGTCATGTACTATGATAATACTACATAGAATGCTCTGCAGAGCATTCTATGTAGTATTATCATTACCACTTCAGTAGAATCTCCCAGGAAGTGAATCTTTTTATTCCTGTTGTTCACTAATTAGAGATAATAGCTACTGCCTTCACCAAGCTGATGTTGAGACTGCGATGCCCATAATTTGCAACCCATACTGTGTGGGAATGCATCTTGTAAGTACTAGTTTGAAGAAGGCAGTGCATATTTTATTTTGTTTTTTTCATAGAACAACTCATAGCTCAAGGGGACTGATTCCTGGTTTATATCAGTAAATGGTGTAACAGAAATTTATGTCTTCAAACTTACACAGCTGCTGCTAAATTTCTGAAAACTCTGGTAAATCTAATCAGCAGAGAGCTTGCATAATTGTGCCTAATAGCTCTTCCCCTTAGTTGTGTAATTAATTGAAATGAGTTGTTTCAAGGTAATTAAGTTACTGCTGACAATCCATGAGCTTGGTGACATAGTCCAGAATGTGCTACTTCAACTGAATCAAGAGCACTTCAGGATTTCAGTAGGTAGAACCAGCAAATAATCTGAGTGGGGCTATTCTGATATTATGAAACATGTGAAAAGCATAAAGAAAAGAAACAAACTTTATTACATCTGTATTGAAACTTAAAGCTGTTAAAATTATTGCTTATTTACTTATTACACATATTGGTATGCTGCCCAATTACTTTTCAGCGATTCCCACTCAATAACTTCTTCCAGTTGAGTAGTATTCTTGTAAGGATGGATTCTTACAAGACAATTCTTTTAAAGCTTTTCTAGAAAGACTACATAAAAATGGCCAAATAATCTAGAATAGCTTTTGGCTATTCTAGAAGAAAGTAATTATGACCAAGAAATCTCAAAATGAGGGGATCTGAAACATATCCCTTTGGTCAGAACATATTAGAAGGTTTGATTCTACTTGGAGCAAAAGGACAAGAAGGATCCAAGCCATACGTACCAATACCTTGAAGTTGAATTGGATCTGGAACTCTACTAGCAGCCATTGCAGAGTCTCCAGGATTGGTGCTATTCTAGTAATTTAGTTTATCCTGGTCCATGCAGGACTCTGCATTTTGGTTGGGTCAGATACAGCTTCTGAATGACTTTTAAGGGCAGCTTTATGAAGAGTGAATACCATTTTTGTGACATTAGCAGTACTTCCATGCTAATATTATTTGCAGGATATTATTTTTGTAAAAGTGTAAAACTTAGGTTACAGAAATAATAACTGTCCTAACAGGAATGCTATTCCACCTTTGCTTATGAGATCTTTGAGGTGTGCAAAGGGATAGATTTTATTGAAATCCCACTTGATTTTTCATGAGTTGACTTTGCAGTTTTGCAGTTATTAGTTTCAAGAAAGAATGGTAAGGAATGCCAGCGGTGATTTGATCTTCAGGTCGTGCATTCTCAGAGACGTTATACATTATTTGTGTACAGTATTTATTTGTCTAAATAAAACGTAAGTGTTGGCATTTTAGGACAATGTATACAGCTGCGAATATCCATGCACATGTGCACTTAAAATATAATAACATCCACAAGTAATCATAACAAAATGCAACAAATGATTGTTTGGTTGAATAACAAAGTGCAAAAAGCAATTAAAGAAAATAAAAGCAACAATTGTCCACTTGCCTGGGCGAATGTTAGCATCTTTAATTTGCAACTATAAAGACTGTAACAGGAGGAAATTTCCAATGCTTGGGTGCCAGTTTGGGCCCATTAATCTCCATGTAGTTAATCAGTTTTGTTTTAAGTATTTATATGTTCATCCATCATCTCTGGGTAGTTTAAAGAAGTCATCAAATTCAAAGAAAGCAAAACATACTGTTAAAAATAGCTAAGATAAGAAAATGGTGATCAGATCAATGTACCATAACATATCTTACGTCATATGTCTGTCTGCCTGTTTATCGCCTCTTTTTTAATGCTTCCTTTGAGTCTCTTTCCTATTTCTTGAAGTTTATTGTTTCAATGGCTGGCTCAACTTATTAGGAAAAGAGTATCCAGTGATGAGATGATTTCTAATTATCCTGCTTTGTAATGTGGAAGAGTTGGAGGCAGAGGCGGTATTCAGCAGGTTCTGACCAATTCGAGAGAACCGGTAGCGGACATTTTGAGTAGTTCGGAGAACCGGCAAATACCACTTCTGACTGGAGATTTTACAATATCCTTCCCCTGCCATGCCCACCAAGCCACTCCCACAGAACCAGTAGTGAAAAAATTTGAATCCCACCACTGGTCGGATGGATATCTCCCAGGAAGCATAAATAATTCAGGGCTTTAGAATTATGAAAACAATCAAACATGAATTATTTCATGTTTGCACATTCCTCTGAAGCATCGCTGGTTCCAAGTGATCTGGTGCTGTATGCCATGAAACAAAGTTTAACAAATATTCAAACCAAGTATGACTCCAACTGTACTAAAATTAAAATAATTAAGAAATATATAATTATTGTAATAGGTACAGTACCAAGTATTATATAATAAATGGCCAATACCATTTGACCACATGCTGGTTTCTTTTTCCTCCAATCTCTCAACAGGTATATACAGCATGCATTTATATATATGACATCTTCACTTATTCTTGTTCACCAGTCCAAGATTTTATTGTTTTCCTCTTGACTTACCTTAAGTAAACAAAAATCTAGGAAATTCAACATCTAACCTAAAGATTTTCTGTTGTTTTTGTGGAGATCTTGTGTTCCAATTATTAACCACACCTTCTATGGCACAATTATAGAAATACATCTCGCACTGTATCTGATGGTGCCTTAGTGTATATCGGATTGCAGATTTGGTAATGTTGAGATGCAGGGAAAATGTTTGAGATGTTTCAGGAGGAAGAACTGTAGAAAAATGCTGAGGAACCAAATGGGTCAGAAAAAATGAAACAAAAAAAGAGACTGTTGCTTATATCTTACATACAGTATGTGGACAGTCCTGTATAAATATGATTTCCCATGGGAGAATAAATTACACACTGGCATATGAGTAGTCCCAAGTCCTTTTTGGGCAGTGGGAACATCTGGACTGTTGAGAACATGTCAAGGGTGCTTATCAGAAGAAGACTAGTAATGGGATGACTTCAGTGGTGGGATTCAATTTTTTTTTTACTACTGGTTCGGTGGGGGTGGCTTGGTGGGCGTGACAGGGGAAGGATACTGTAAAATTTCCAGCCAGAGATTGGTATTTGCTGGTTCTCCCAACTACTCAAAATTTCCGCTACCGGTTCTCCAGAACTGGTCAGAACCTGCTGAATACCCACCTCTGGATGACTTGCTTGCTCATGTACGACTGCTCTGATCTAAAATCCAGCTCATAAATATATAATTTTTTTATATTAAATAAATATATAAAATAAGCTTTCATAAATACAGTATATAAAAGAGGAGAACCCGTTAGTGTAGCGGTTAAGGCACCAGGCTAGAAACCAGGAGGCGCTGAATTCCAATATTTCCTTAGACACAAGGCCAGCTGGGTGATTTTGGGCCAGTCTCTCTGTCTCAGCTAGGAAGCTACACCAAACCACTTCCCGTAATCTTTCCATAAAAATTGAAGGATACATCCAGGCACGTGCCAGGATTTGAAGAGAGACAGACAGAGAGAGAGAGAGAGAGAGAGAAGGAGAGAGGGAGAGAGACTCCATGAATTGAGTTATGCAGCCTTTCCATTAATTTGTTGACAATACTGCTACCCTACAAAAAGATCTTGACTATGTGTCAGAATGGTCAAACAAATGGCAACTTCAAATCTCAACAAATAAATGCTCTGTCTTACATATTGGCAAAAAAATCAGAAAATAAAATACAGGCTGAATAGTCAAGAACTTGTTGATGACCCAAGCTCTGTAAAGGACCTTGGAATACTCACCTCTAATGATCTAAGTGCTAGAGCACACTGTAACTACATAGCCAAAAAGGCATTAAGAGTTGTTAACCTAATCCTACGTAGCTTTTTCTCTGGTAATATTACACTAATAACTAGAGCATACAAAACATTTGCTAGACCAATACTCGAATACAGCTCATCAGTCTGGAACCCACATTACGTATCTGATATTAGCACAGAAAGTCCAGAAATATTTCACAAGAGTTCTCCACTCCTCTACTCGTTGTAGAATACCTTATGCCACCAGACTTGAAATTCTAGAACTTGAAAACCTTGAATTACGCCGTCTTCGGTCTGACTTAAGCATGGTATATAAAATCATACATTGCAATGTCCTACCTGTCAGTGAATACTTCAGCTTCAACCATAACAACACAAGATCACACAATAGATACAAACTCAAAGTAAACCGCACCAAACTTGATTGCAGGAAATACGACTTCAGCCATAGAGTGGTCAATGTCTGGAATACTCTACCCGACTCTGTAGTTTCTTCCCCAAACCCCAAAAACTTTAACCTTAGACTGTCTACTATTGACCTCACCCCTTTCTTAAGAGGTCTGTAGGGGGCGTGCATAAGCGCACCAACGTGCCTACCGTCCCTGTCCTATTGTTTCTCTTATTCTTTTATTTTTCTTATATGTACCCATTTCATGTATTCATAACTATGTATACACTTATACTTATTATCTTGTAAACAATTGGCAAATCAAATAAATAAATAAATAAAATAAATAAATAAATAAATCATCACACCATTGTGAGAAAGAAAGAAAAACTTCATTCTTTTCCAGGCTGATGGATAATTTTACATTTCTCTGCTGCAACTCCTTAATCATTTTGGTTAATATGTTTTCCAGCATATGAGATACCATGACCAGAACTACCTACTGAATTCAAAACATAGTTACATCGTTTGATTAAATAAGGACATTATGATTCGCTTAATGTCAATGGGAAGATGTCACATATATGATACGAATAAATTAATCAGTGAGAAGAGAATGTGCTTTGTTTCCTGCCCAATTAAAGATAAACATAAAATTCATGCTACAGGGATCAAAGTATAATTTGTGTTAATCTTAGCAATCAGTCAGAACTGCATATACTAGCAATGATCATTATTAATAAAGATATGAACTGCCCAAATTCAGACAGTGGAAAAGGGTGTTGCCAGAAGTGGGAAAGAAACTGCAGAGAGACAGAGAGAGAATATTAAATTTTAACCATTCTTTCAATATAGACTTTAGAAAATCAACAAAGTAAGTTACCAGCCTTCACTATTTCTCTTGGTTTCATTGCAAATGGCTGTGCTAAAGTTTTTCCTTTTTTGTTTGGTATCAATCTTCAATCAAAAGACCTCTGTTTCTGCTTCCCAGAGGTATGTATTTATCTTTTAGTGAAAAAGATAAGAAATATTTTCAGACAATAAGGACATATGCCCAAATGGATGAAGAGATCAGAACTTTATATTGTCAAATCATTATGGGGAGAAGACTCATAATGAGAAACTTGTAGCATAGACAAATGACATATCAATTTAATGTCAATATATGCCACAGTGAGACTAAACTCAACAAGTCAATTTAGAGTAAAGTTTTAAAAAATTGCCACCTAAAATGAGAAAATGACTCTCTTCCTTCTGATCGAAACAGAATATATATTTCATAAAAACAATACTATATCCTCTTCTTTGTTTTTCTTTCTCTCAAGCAATTAGGTTTCTGCTAACTTTTTATGACATAATTAATAAGAGGGTAGTAATCCAAATCTTCAATGATTTCTTAACATTCAGGTCCCAAATTTTCAATAAATCATTGTAAGGGATTTTCCAAAAGAAAATAAACTTTAATAGGTTAATAATAAACTTCAGATCACAACAGTTTTTAATAAGTTAATAAAAAACTTTATATCGCAATAAAAAATAAATTTAGCCATCAAACTGGAATCCTTAAGCTCATTTTATAAGTGGATTAACAGAATTTATTACATGCACTATTTTTCCTTGGATGTTAAATCCCATTTTTACCCAAAATGTTTACGAATGGATTCCATGCAAGTGAATGCTTTACTCTCTCTAGTCCTTGCATTTTGTATGTTTATTCAGGGATGCAGCCTTAATCTTACCACTCGGGTGCTTTTCCTGCCTAAGTTTGGCTGATCTAGGGATTTCCCAAGAACAGACTGCATGGTTGTTCCCTGAGAGATCAGGTGAATCACGTGATATTGAGAATGAGATCATCACAGTTTTAGAATCAGCTCATTGTTTTGAAACTTTGATAATCATTTCGCCCCCGAAGTTTCCAGTTTCAGGGATGAATGGCCATCCATCAGCTGAGAAAGAGGTTATTCCCCACCTATGTTCCACAGCATCATCACCTACCGGATTTGGTCGTGTCAGGGCCCAACTTCCTCATCTGGTTGGTTTGGGACAATGGGGAATTTCCCTTTGCCTAGAACAACAACATGACTGAAGCAAGAAATCCAAGACTTGCACAATGGCAGGCGCCTGGTGGAGTGGAAGGATTGGGAGGGAGGTAATTTAACACTGCTAGTGGATCTATGCATTGATTATTTAAATTTGAAAAACAAGTAAGAAACAGATGATATGCGAGAACTTTGTAACAATATAATCACACACCCCAGAAGTCTTCAATTCCATTTTCTTGATGAATCTATAAAGTGCACCAGATGATTTCTCAAAGTTGGAATATGATTAGGAAGGGGTATTATTTAGCTCTGAGGTTCAGTGCCAATATTTGTTCCATCAGCAGAACAATTTCAGTGATAGAAGTTTCCATTATCTTTATAAGGTTACCCAACTGCCTCAAGTGAAATTCAAGCCCAATATCTCACCAACCTTATTGAGGACCTAGGTTATGAGTCTACCTGCATTAGCATAATAAAACTGATTAAAATATTTCAAAACTAAATTTAGCATGATACACTGAATCTCTACATTTTTATAGATGTTAAATTAACTATATACCGTACCTGTTATAGGCCTTGGGAAGCATGTCATCTCAACTCCAAGTAAAATAGGATGCAAATGATTAAATGACTTTCAATCTACTTATCGCTAAGCATTTTGCCAATTTTGGGGTTAAAACATCCTTAACCACCCTGGTGGTGATTTAAGTAAGATCTTGGAAAAGTGTGTGTGGGGGGTTCCATTTGGTTCTTCGGATTTCTTGGTGGCCTTCAATACTTCTATCCATAATCAGGAGAGATTATTCTCATTCTCTTCCTTCTCATCTGAAGAACCAGATGTACATGTGAACTTGGAGCAAAAGAGGAGAGAACCCAGTTCATGAACCCAGTTCACACCGACCTCTGCTTTATACTTCAGCTGAAGCCTAGAAGGACTTGCCAAACAACCCTAGCCAAAACCTTGAGCCAGATCAACTGGTTTCACCACCTGCCATACTTCTGTTGGCAAAAAAAATTGCCTTCAGACAGGCAAGCAGAGATTTGTTATAACAAGCACACAACTAAATCAACACCCAGCATTTTGGTTTGTTGACCTGAAACTCAAGCCTATATTAGCTAGAATTATCAAACAAGCTGATTTCCTTGGCAAGTCCTCTTGTGTTCTATTCAACAGAGAAGAAAATGACTCCCAGATAGCCAGGATTCAAGCAGTGGTGGTCCATACAACATCAATAGCCACAGTGGTGGGATTCAAATTTTTTTTACTACCGGTTCTGTAGACATGGCTTGGTGGGCGTGGCAGGGAGGGATACTGTAAAATCTCCAGTCAGAGGTGGTATTTGAACTACTCAAAATTTCCATTACCAGTTCTCCAGAACTGGTCAGAACCTGCTGAATACTACCTCTGAATAGCCACCAGGAGGAGAGACCATATAAACCAAGGGTCTTCAAACTTGGCAAGTTTAAGACTTGTGGACTTCAACTCCTAGAATTCCTGAGTTAACATGACTGGAGGAGAAATTCTGGGAGTTGAAGTCCACAAGTCTTTTTTTTTTAATATAAATTTTATTTGGGTTTTCACAAAAACATAATAACAAATAAAACATCTTTTTTTGAGAATAGCATGATCCCGGGTTATCACTTCTCCATACAGACACAAACTCAATTTCATATTCATCTTTGTGTTCTATTCCATATCTTATTACTATTTTAACATTTTCTCCATAATTTTTCCCCTCCCTTGGTTTTCTCAACTTTATTTTTAATTATCTCATATCTAAGTTCAATTATATATCTTTTTCTAAGTTTCAATGTCTTTCTAATCATTATATTTATACTTTTGTCTGTCCTGTTTCAATTTCATATTGCCTTTTCTCATTAAACAAATTTTCCCCTGTAGTTACTAATTGGAGTATGACACTTTTGTATCTTTTAATTTTATCCATTCAACTCTTATTTAAACTTCAATTTATGCCTTTAAAATTATAACATTCAATATAGTACATAACTTCCAGTCGAATTCTGCTTGGTACATTCTTAAAATACTATATATATATATAATATATGTTATTCAGCTTTGTTCAGGCATTTTCCCACGTCATTATAGTTGTGCTTTTAAAGTTGTAGCAACGTTTCGGCAGAATCTCATCTGCCATCATCAGGCTTCTGTACTGTGTTCATCTGTGAGTCAGACTTTTACAGTTGTTTCAGTTTTAAATTTGGGGCTAGCCTATTGCTGTGCCAGAATGGTTTTTTCTTCATCCTGATTGGTTGGGAGTCTTGGTCTTGTTTATTGGTCTTGGAGTTTCTAATATCTTCTGTCTGTTTTGTGGCTTTTTTTGTGTCTTGATTGGCTGGCAACTTTGTGTTCCTGTATTGGAGACTTTTAGTGCAGCTTGGCTCTGAGTGAATGGACGGTTATCATTTGTTAGGAAGCTAGGTTTCATCTGGGTGCCTGGTTGAGGTGTGTTTGAGCTGGAGGTATCAGGGGGGATCTGTTTGTGCCCAGGTGTTTGCCTGGCTAGTGGTGTGGATATTTTTTTGTTTGTGAGTGCAGGCTTCCAAATAATGGAATCATCTCTTCTATTCATGCTTTCAGGTCTTTTTTCAATCTCTATGGCTTCTCTGATAATTCTGTGGCTGGGGTTTTCTATAGTGGCTAGGGTTTTGGTGCCATTGAAGTTGATGCTATGACCTGTGGCTTTCATGTGTTGGACTAGTGAGGAAGTGTGTTCCAGCTTTTTTACTGCATTTTTGTGTTCATTCAGGTGGGTACTTATTCTTCTATTGGTCTGTCCAATGTATGTGGCCAGGCATGATGCACAGGGGACTTCATATATGCCTTGGTTTTCCAGGTCAATTTTATCTTTGGGATTTCTAAGGATGGCTGCTATTTTTCTGCCTGTTTTGAAGGCAGTCTTGATATGATGCCTTTGTAGTATTTTACTGATTTTGTCTGTAGTACCTCTTATGTAGGGCAGGACAGCTGTTCCATAGGTCTGTTCATCTTCTAGGTCTCCATTATGTCTCAGTGTGTTTTTGTGGATCCAGCCAATGATTTTGCTTTTGTGGAAGCCGTTGGCTGTCAGTACTTTAGTCAGGGTGTATAGTTCAGTCTTTATGTGTGTCTTGTCTGCCAGGCGTTTGGTTCTAGCAATTAGTGTTTTAAAAACCCCAAAGGTACTATCTTATGTACCTTTGCAGAATCCCTTTTTCAATTAAATTTTCACCAATTATCTCTAAATAGGCTTATACTTTCAATCCTTATACATTTTCCCTGTTTCTCTATATCTTGTTTCTGTCTTTTATAACTTCTTTTCCTTTCCTTCTTCCCCCTCTTCTTCTCCCTCCCCCTTTTGCCCCCTTGTCTCTCTACTTCTAATTCTCTCTTCTGTAATCCTCTCTTCTGTTGCTTCGTAATATTGTAATTATTTTTCAAACTATTCTTTTTTGGGTTGTTTTTTCAAATCTTAAACTTTTCACTCTCTTTCCCCCCTTTCCTCCCCCCCCAACATAAAGTTACTTGATCATTAAAGATGGCTTCTTCTTTGTCCCGACCTTCTTGTTCTACAAGCATTTCTTGTTGTTTCTCATAGTTCCAGATCTCCATTTCTAAAAATTGAAATACGAAGCCAAAAGAACCTGTTCCTTCTTGTGCACCTTCTTTCTGTTTTTTTAAGTTCCATTTTCAGTTCTTCTAAAAGTGATGCCATTTTAAAATTTTTAAACAACCACCCGATTGATTTTACTCGTTTAATCAAATCCAATAGCCAACAATCCAAAAATCACCAAGTAATCCAAATAATCCAAAGCTGTTTCTTCTTGCCTCTTTTTTCCACTTCCTCTTCCTGGGATTCTATTATTTTGTTACAAAGTTTCAGTTAGAATGTATCTTTTAGGAATCTTGTTAAGGTTTCACTATAAGTTCCTTTTAGTTCCAGGCAGTCTCCTCCATTTTTCCAGATCCTGCCCTTTTATTCTTTCCTTTTCTCTCCTTTCCTGCTTTTAAAGGTTTTTGAGTATCCAAAAGTCTTTATTATCCCTTTGACATTTTATTTTCAGCTTAAATGCCTATTGATGTCAAAGTGGATTTTTGTCAATTTCTTACTTAAATCTCTTAGCTATTAGTATAAGGAAGGGAAGGAAAAAAAGCCAAATTCTTTCCCTTCCCTCTCTCCTTCGCTGCTTCAAAGTCTTCTTTGGGAACAATGTTATTTTTTATAGTTCAAATTCCAGGGTACCTTACGTTGTTGCTTTTTCAGTTCAACCCGGTCAACCAAAACTTTCTCTTCTTATCTTCCTCCTGCACATTCTTTTCCGGTTGAGTTCTTCTTTGAGGTGGCCATTTCTGACCACCGCTGCAACCGCCTTCAGGAAAGGGAGTAATGGCCAGCTGAGGAGGAGAGATGCAGCTCTCCTTGACCCTACTGGTGGTCTCCCCACTCTTCACCACCTCTACGGGATGGCTTAGTCCAGAATCCAGCTGGCTCGGGGCACTCCGGTGGCGAGCACGGATCGAAACCGTGCACGATCGCGGATTCAGTCTTTCACCGAAGAAGCTCAACCCAAAAGTCTCAAGTCTTAACCCTGTCAAGTTTGAAGACCCCTGATATAAATAGTTGCTCTGTGAGTGAGATAGATGGTTTCTAAATTTGTATGTTAAAAAAAAAAAAGTAAAAATTAAAATAGAGGCGTTCCTAGCTATATGGTTCCAGGAAGCACAGTTGGGGATTAGGTCCTTGCAGGAAAGAAGCCCAGAGACCACTCCTTTAACAAATATGGTTTCAGGTACCAAATTTCATATGGTTTCTGAATTCCTACAAGTCATGTTTTTTTAAGCTCGTACTGATTCTTGATTTCACAACAATGTGATTTATAAGTGATAGGGACTTTTCATTTTAAATGAAAATGGCCATAGGAAATAAAACAGATATAATGACCTAATTACACTTTCACAATGATGGAAAAACAAAAACAAATGTGCAGTTCCCTCATTCACATGTCCTCTTTTTTCAAAGCAAAATCAATGGGGAAGCCAGATTCACTTAACAACCATGTTACTATCTTATCACCTGTGGTGAGTCACTTAATAAATGTGGCAAGAAAGGTTGCAAAATAAGTCAAAACTCACTTAACAAATGTCTCACTTAACAATATAAATGTTGGGCTCAGTTGTTGTCGTAAGTCGAGGACTACTTGCATATCTATTCGTAACTCTCTTCAAAGCCACACTTGGATAAACCAACATGGTTTTATCTGGCTTGCAGGGCAGTATATTTAGCTGCATCCTCAGGATATTTCATTTGCTCATAGTGAGTTTCCAGTTTGGTTGGGTTCTACATCTATGTAGGGTCACTGACATTAAGACAAAGGCATGCAGAGGCTCAAATCATCACATACACCATATACCATGAGAAATGTGCAATATTTTTTCCAGTTCCAGCCAGACTCCATTCCAGCAGATCAATCAGACTTTCTCAGTCAATGTGGGCTATTCCAAAATATGCTAGATGAGCCAAAGCTCCTGGAATGGCTCCTTGCAACATTATTTGAAGTCTACAGCACTAGCAATAGCGCTTAGACTTATAAACCGCTTCACAGCCCTCCCTAAGCAGTTTACAGAGTCAGCCAATTGCCCCCAACAATGTGGGTCCTCATTTTACTAACCTCAGAAGGATGGAAGTCTGAGTCAACCTTGAGCCTGATAAGGATCGAACTGCTGGCTGTGGGCAGAATTAACCTGCAATACTGCATTCTAACCACTGCGCCAACATGGCTCTTTTGTACATTCATGGCTGCTCAGTCATTCAGAATGGGAAACTCATAATTTCGGTCCATGGTTTCTGCAGCTCAGATCTTTGCATTCTCATTCTTTCTCTTTCAGTGATCAGGTTTTGTGGGCTTTTCCAAAATCTGACAGAGAAGCGGACGTTCTACGGAATCTGACCAATGCTTTTGAGGTAATAGCTTTTGGCAAACCGTAGTGCAGAACCATACTGCAGAAAAGCTGGATTTTCACATTGCTTTAAAGTGTAATGGGTTGGATTTGCTTTTGGCTTAGTGTGATGTGAAATGAGCCATGTTGGTTAGTAAACAGTTTAGGACTAACCCAGCCAAAAGCAGCTAAGGGTGATATATAAATCTAGTCAGAAAACAGTATTCATTTGCAACCATTTTTGGTAATATTTAGAATGGAGCTTAAGGGAAAAAAATGGACACAGAAGGAAAAAAAAAAGGTGAAACAAAAGAGTGAAAGTAGAAAAATTGCAGGAAACAGCAGTTTATATAGGTATATATTAATCTATCCCTTAATATATTTTTAAAAATATATTGGGGGATAGATTAATCTCCCAATAAAATGCATAGTAAGTAGACTTTTTAAAAGAGCATGTAGAAATTGCTTGGAACAAAATGAAGAGTTGTACATTTAATGGAGTAGGCAGCTACATTAAATCTGAATCATCATCACATAGAAATGTGTGGAGTTACACTAATGGTGGGATTGGCAACTCTTCCATCTTTACACAATGGTTCTGCCTATCTTATTTGCAGGCATGATATTCCGCTCTGAAAAAAAAATCGGGGCCGGCCAAAAGAGACCCCCCGCCGCGCGCCCGGGGAGCGCCCGCTGCCTTCCCTCGCCAGGGCCGGGTGGCGGCGTGTTGCACGGAGGCTGGTCTGTGGCTGGCCCAGCTCCCTTTTCCTGCCGCTCAGCAGCCTCCGCTCGCACCGCCCGGGCTCTGCTCAGGTATCCGGCTGGGGCTGTCAGGAGTTGCTACCGCCGGCGCAGCTCCACGTGGCTCCAGTCCCGCGTTGCCTCGGGAAGGGAAAGGCAAAACCAGGAGCCGCTGCTGCCGTTGCAAAGCGCCGCCGCGGCTCTTCCTTTTTGCCTTTCCCTTCCTGAGGCAACGCGGGACTGGAGCCGCGCGGAGCCACGCCAGCAACTCCTGACTCGGGGCCTCCGAGGGGAGGGGAAGGAGGAGAAGAAGGGGTGGGGGGAAAGGAGGGGGCGATTCCCAAAAAAATCAGAATTCTGATTTTAATCGGAAGAATATCATGTCTGTATTTGTCACATTGCCATCTTCAGCCCTTACCAAGAGTATATGTGAAGATTGCATCTCTCAGTCTAACAACTGGAAGAAAGTTGTTATTGTTCCCCTTCACGAAGGTGAAGGTAGCAAGAGTGCATGCAAAAACTGGGGTGGGGTGGGGTGTGTGAGAGTGGGAATTAATGAGTTAGGTGTGCCTAAGAAAGTCTTTTGCAGAAGTTTGGTTGACAGACTGCGAGGGATGACAGCAACATTCAGAAAGAGACATGCAGTTTGATGCCAGTGGGTCACTAAGAAGTGTTTGAATGTGAGAAAGATGGATTACATTTATTGATAGAAAAAAGTGTATAATAAAATGAACAATAACAATAGCACTTAGACTTACCGGTATACACCACTTCACCATGCTTTACAGCCTTCTCTAAGAGATTTACAGAGTCAGCCTATTGCCCCCCAACAACCTGGGTCCTCATTTTACCGATCTCGGAAGGATGGAAGGCTGAGTCAACCTTGAGCCTGGTGATATTTGAACTGCCAAATTTGAGGCAGCTGGCAGTCAGCAGAAGTAGCCTGCAGTACTGCACTCTAACCACTGTGCCACCGTGGCTCAACAAGCTTTGTGGAAGATTTTGCAAAAATGTGGCGTTGAAAGCTATTTCTTGACTGTTGTAGAACTGAAGTAAAAACACAGATTAGGATTAGCAATTTTGAGCAGGGAGTAAAATAAAGATTCATGATGTCCCCTTAGTTAATGTATTTATAGGAATATACATACTTATGGTGATGGCAATGGGAACATCATTCTTGCATCATGCAATTTACATTAGTAGATCGATAATTATCATGCAATGAGAATTAATATGTAAACTGAAGTAGCAAAATCAAGATAGATATGACAGAAAATTACTAGTTTTCTACCTTACTGGTTTTGAGTTTAGTTCCAGAACGAGTAGAAAGGAAGCCCCCAACTACTTCTCTCAAAATATTTTGCATAAAAGGAGCATAAATTAAAAGCTGCAAGATAAAATGGATTGCCGTGAGAAAGTATAAGAAGTAATCAATGACCCCATTCTGCGTGTCATTCTCTTTCATTTCAAAATAGATTGTGCTTTGGCAACCTGTTTCCCCTGAGAACATTGTAAGGAATAAGGAGGTACATTTTTATGTCAATGTTTCTGATGCAGATAACGTGAAAGCGGAGCTTAACCGATCTGCCATTTTATTCAGGTATGATGCTTTCTGTTCTGTGCTGTCCATGCCTGCAAGAAGGCTACTACCATTTTTGTTTTTATATCAAAGATGAGGAACCGTTATGCGCTTTCTTTTCAGAGTTTCTCTGGATGATGTTCAGAAAATTATTGACCTACAAACCATCAATGACACTGTTACCCCCCGCAGTTCTATTTCATTCTATGAGCAATATCATTCTCCAAAAGTGGTAAGACTTGGTGCAATTGGTCCCTTTATTCCTAAACCCTGTGGTAGGTTTTATTTATTTATTTATTTATTTGATTTGTCAATTGTTTACAAGATAATAAGTATAAATGTATACATAGTTGTGAATACATGAAATGGGTACATATAAGAAAAATAAAAGAATAAGAGAAACAATAGGACAGGGACGGTAGGCACGTTGGTGCGCTTATGCACGCCCCCTACAGACCTCTTAGGAAAGGGGTGAGGTCAATAGTAGACAGTCTAAGGTTAAAGTTTTTGGGGTTTGGGGAAGAAACTACAGAGTCGGGTAGAGTATTCCAGACATTGACCACTCTATTGCTGAAGTCGTATTTCCTGCAATCAAGTTTGGTGTGGTTTACTTTGAGTTTGTATCTATTGTGTGATCTTGTGTTGTTATGGTTGAAGCTGAAGTATTCACTGACAGGTAGGACATTGCAATGTATGATTTTATATACCATGCTTAGGTCAGACCGAAGACGGCGTAATTCAAGGTTTTCTAGTTCTAGAATTTCTCAGGGAGAAATTCAGGTTCTCAGGGAGTTACTAACCAAGGATTTCATAGTCAAATAGTTGTAAGGTTGTTTAGGTCAACAAACAAAAACATCTTCCCTGGATGCCATGAGTCAATAATTGCTCTGGGCAAGTGACCAAATTGAACGGAAAGAAGACAGAGTTGCTCTCTCTCATCTGGTCGGCTGCAACTTGGACCGGCAACTTGAGAGTTCTGGATTCATGGAGAGAGAGTATGATTATAGGGGGGAACCTTCGCCCACATTTGGCTGGTTTACCAAGTGGGATCCTACTGGAGTGCACACCTTCATCACCACTACTTTAATCAACACCACTTTTTAAGAGCTGGATTTGGTTTGAAGATTAGTGTGCTTGGAAACAGCAATTGGTGTAAAATGCAGCTAAGAGGAAATTCTGACTGCCACCAACCAGCCTAAAATTATAATGACATCTTCCTTGGAGATTTTTGGGAAGACTGTTAAGGTTGAGGTTTTTTTTTTTCACAAGGCCTTTAAAGTAATACATTATGGTTTGCTAGAGAAAGATCCAATTATTGTCATTTTGTTCCTTATTTTTATGCCAGAGAGACAAGTCCAAAGTTATGCTTCTTTTCACCCGCTAAGGATATAATTTAATTCTCTAAAAGTGGTAAGACTTTTTGGTGTAATTGCTCCTCGAGTTTTATGACCCATATCTTGTACCATTAATGTAATGCTTTTAATCAGCTCAAAACCCTTTTTGACAACAATAAAAAATTGGGTTTAAAATACGCAACAATATTTCCATGTTTTATCTTCTTCAAATCATTACGTTAAACCTGTAAAATAAGCTAACTTGGTATTGTAAGTATATTGCAGGAACAGTTAGGTCACACCAGTTGCTTTTTCCTGCCTCTTCCATTATTCTTTTAATTATTGGAACACACAAATTGCCTAAATAGCTGTCCTGACCTTCAGAAATATTGATTATATCCCAATTTTGTGGAACTTGGTTTAGTCTGTGCTCAATATACAACCATCCTGGAAAAAATAAGGAAAGACACAAATAGTAGTTGGGATCCTATTGATATCATCTGGAATTAACTGATGGAATAATAGAAGGAAGTTGTTACTTCAAAGATTTAAAATGCCCTATCTCTGCTGAAAGAGCCATTTTATCTTTTAGATCTATACATGGATGGATGAAATAGCCACAAGACATCCTGATATCATCCAAAAGATACACATTGGATATTCTTTTGATAAACGTCCGCTTTATGTTTTGAAGGTATGCTTGGCCAAACTTCACAATTCCTTCAGATTCAGAAGGTGAAATGCTACCTGGAACAGGGAACCAGGTAGAGGTGGAATTGAAGCAATTTTGGGACCCCTCTGGGCATGCCAAGTGGGTACGTCCAATTGCAACTGACTTGATTTATTGAAAAAATGGACTCAAGAGAGCCAAAAACTTTCCATTGGATTTTGATTTACTTTTCAGGAGAGGGACAATTTTAATTTTTTTGCTTGTTGCACTGATATTAAAACTTGAAAGTAGCATGTTATTTTGGAAATTATTTTACAAGCAATGTTGCTTTAGGATAATCAATGTGATCAAGTAGCCATATGTCTTCTTGGGAACCTATGCCATTAAATTCCCTTTTATTAGTTTTCACATAGAAGCAGAACTCCCAAAAATGCCATCTGGATTGATTGTGGAATCCATGCAAGGGAATGGGTTTCACCAGCTTGTTGTCTCTGGTTTACAGGACACGTAAGTTGATGGGTTTTTTTTAAAGTATTTACTAACTTGCACGTACATTACATACCCACCAAGGAAGGATACAAAAAAAAAAAGGGTGTACTTTTCAGAATTTGATAAATAAACATGAGTTCTGGATCCCAAGGAGCTTGGAGTCTTTTATTTATTTTAAAGAGAAGGTAGAAGACCGAGATAAAAATAAAGGGAGATTCTGTTAATGAAAGTAAAAACTTACACTAAAGTAATTAATTCATCTGGGTGTGCTTCTCGTTTGGATGTAAGGCTGACGTCAGCCATGTAAGGCTGACATCAACCTTGCACACTTGAAAAGTACACTTCTCCCATTGCCTTACAGCCCAAGAACCTAGGGAGGGTCTCTTCTGAGATGGTTGACATGTCTTCTTTCCTGCTGTGGGCTAAGTTTCCTCTTATCTGACCATCCCTCTGGCTGGCAGCTCTTTCTCATCTCCAAAAGTCATTCCCACGTACCATTTCAGAGAACGAAAAAGTCAGTAGGTCAACAACCATTGTGTTCATGTAACACCCTGATCCATAAACTAGCCAACCATATAAGCCTAGAGTGTGACAAGAGATCAGGTCATGCAATTTGTCATACTATGCAAATTCAGATAATTCCATGTATTATGCTTTTGCATAAATCAGCTTAAAGGGGTAAAGTAGGGAGCAGATTATAAGTATACAAAACCAGTTCAATGTCTATATTCCCTGGTGGGAATTCCTCTTTCTTCATGGGATTCTACAGGACATAGAGTAAAGCATTAACCCAAGAAGTGAGAAGCAATGGCGATAAATAGTAAGCAACTAGATCTACTCATCTTTAAACTTTGCCCCCAGAGTGTGACTCTGAGGCACAGTGGGAAAGTTTTATGGTTATTAAATAATTCAGAGCCTTATATTAAAAGGTTGTGGGGGGGGGGGGGGAGGCAAGCCTTCTTCTTCTTCAGGTGTGGTGCAGTTGCTTGGTTGTTAAGACGGTAGGCTTGCTTCCTGGAAAGCCCAGCCACATGAACTCCCGTCCTTGCCCCAGTTCCTGCCAACTTAGCAGTTCGAAATCATGCAAATGCAAGTAGATATATAGGTACTACTGTGGAAAGGTAACAGTGCTCTGTGACATCATGCTAGCCACATGATCATGGAAATGTCATCAGACAGCTGCAGCTCAATAGCCTTGAAATGGAGATGAGCATTGCCTCTTATAGTCAACAACTATTAGCGGAGTAAAAATCCAGCAGGGACTCCTTCAGTCTGTTGCACTCTGCTTGTGTTAAGCTGTCTCCCTTATCATCCATTGACTTAGTATGGTGGGAGTTGTAATCCAACATATCTGACTAGCACTAGGTTGGGAAAGCGGGCACAAGAAGTCTGTCCTCAATTCTGAAAACAGGACAAAAAGGGATAGGAGTAGGGATAAGTTATCTTTTCTTCTCACCTATAAATTCTCTCCAGTCCTATGCATGCAAACTTGAGCTCTTGGAGGAAAGGGGGGAAGATAATTCCAATACGTGCAGGAGAAATAACTCCATAGTTATTTAATAAAGGGTTCAGACCCTGTTGGTGAAGCACAGTTGTTTACTAGAGATAGCAAAAGACAACCTAAAAATGAGTGTGGGTTACAACCCCTCTACATAGAATTATGCAAATTAGAATGTAGCTATGCTCAAATATAGCAATGCTTGAATAACTGATTGGATACAGCAAAGTACTCGGCAGTTTCCATTAAATCTTATTTCTGCATCCACTTTTAGGTTACACAATTTCTAGACAGGGATGTAACAATGGCAAGACTTCTACAGCGCCTTGATTTCTATGTCATGCCGATAATGAATGTGGATGGTTATGAGTATACATGGACTACTGTAAGTATACTTTTTTTTTTCTAGATATATTATGAAATTTGGTCTGGAAAGTTTGAAAGTCCAAATAATCTTCATTGAGATGACTTGTTACAACGTTGCATTACCTTATGTGTCATAACACAGTATTCACATCAGTAAGCTTTGTGCTGCAGGATTGCCTCTTTTCTTAAAATATTACTAGAGGAGGGAATGCAAATTTCCTGCTAGATCACACATAAAACATTAGCTTCTAATTTCAATGTTTACAGAATGATTCATACTTTGACCCTATTTTCTGGGCATTAGATGCTGGTTTCCAATAAATAAAATAAATATGCTCACTACACATTATTTATCAAATGTATTCACTTTAGAAATATAGTTATAAAAAAGAATACTTTTATAAATGTATTTTGCTGTGTCTAATCTGGTGCCTAATGCAGGAAAAAAGTATTTTCAAATTTGGTGTAAGTTACAAACTTAGCAATGAGCTTCATATTTGGTTTTCCTAGCTGGTGCTCATCTCAACAAAATTCTGCACCTTGTGAAAGCAGGGAATAGGAATTCATCTTGTCCCACAAGTGAATAGTATCAAGAATGACTTGTTTGACAGTGTACTGTATATCCATACATTGTGTTGTTTAAGTGTTCCCTTTATTTTTTTGAGGAGTGTATTTTTCAAGCTTGGGATTGCCAGCAGCACTTGGAGCATTGGTGGCCTTAGTGCTAGATTCCAGTCTTCAGGCTCTTACAAGCACGCCCCCATTTTGTCTGCAGTGTGTATTACTTTGGCTGCGATGCTCACAATCAACACAAATACTGAGCATTTTAGACTCATTTAAGCACACATTTACTTGCGTCCGTGGATCAACCTTAACATTTACAATAATGCCTGCTTGGAAAACACTGCGATATCAACAAGGGGTTCTTTGGGAAGCCTTGTTTTCAAAAGTGCAATTATGTGCGATGAGATTTTTTAGGTTACAAATTACGCATTGGTGATATTAACATTAAAATATTTTACATAAATACTGGTGTGTGGGTGTGTGTGTGTTACCTACAGAATCGAATGTGGAGAAAAAGCCGCTCAAAGCATGGCAACAACCACTGCATTGGGACAGATATGAATCGCAATTTTGATGCAGGCTGGTGTGGTAAGATGATGTTTGTTTGTACATACACATAGACACTATGAATATTTATTGCATCAAGTATAAACTGATCTACATATACTTGGGGAGAACAAGTTTCATACTTTACTTGATATATAAAATGCTCTCCAAACCTATCCTATGTTAAACACCACCAAAATCAATTTTATTTTCCAATACGTAGGTATAGAATTGCTCAGAAGATTCCCCAAGATTGTGTTGGACTACATATACTATCATCAGTCCATGCTAGTCAGGGTGTACATTTGTTCTGGTGTACATTTGACTGGAGAAGGCTGAACTAGAGCTTAATAGCTTGGAAAAATGTACAAGAATACAAAATGTGGTTCCATATATAACATCAGAAAAGCATCCAGTTTCACCCAGGAATGAAGGTTTTCTGATGGTTTCAGTTAGTTAGCTGGAGGAGGCAGATGGTACCCTGTTCTCATCCTCAAATGAAATCGTCTTTTTTCTTAAGAGAAGGGTCCTTGGTGATCTCTGAGCTTGCTTGTTTTCTTGAAGATGTTTCATTAACCAAACTAGGTAACATCATGAGTGCTAGTAAGGAGAGCGGTTTGCTGTCAGTTTATATTCTGGTGACTTGCTTGTCTTTTTCTTTAAGTGAAGCTAAGCAGCAAAATGCCACACACAAAACAGCCATAGTATACAAAAAGAAGGCAACTACTTCCCTGTGCCTTTATTTTTTTT